GGAACAATCGAAAGGACGATGAGACGGAAGGGCCACTGCCTGGGACTTACTAAACACCTCCTGAAGGTCCTGGTATTCTGCGGGTATCTTGGACAGGTCCGGGGTCTCCCCCGGAGCTGCAGACGCCACAGGTGACCGGGCAGAGCGTAGACACTGGGAATAGCACGTCAGACCCCAGGCGGTGATATAACCCCTTCCCCAATCGATCTGAGGGTTATGCCTGAGGAGCCAAGGGTGACCTAATACTAACGGAACCTGTGGCGTATCAATAATAAACAGTGAAATCTTCTCAATATGGTTGCCAGATAGACGGAGACTCACCGGGACAGTAGCGTGGGTCACCGTTGCCATTCTTCGTCCCGTGAGGGATCGAGCCACCAGGGGTACTTGAATAGGTGTTGTGGGTATCCTCCACTGCTGAACCAGGGTGGCGTCAATAAAACTGTCCTCTGCCCCGGAGTCAATAAGAGCAGCTAACGACTGCTGCTGACTCCCCCATGACAGCACAGCAGACACTATGGGGCGCTGGGGAGAAGAGGGCAAACCCGAAGCCACGCCCACCAGTACCCTCCTCCTTACTGGTGGGCGCGTCCTTTTACTGGACACGACGCGACGAAATGTCCCATCTTCCCACAATACAGGCATGCCCGGGAGGAAAAACGCCGCTGCCATTCGGCAGGTGACAACCGAGCCCTGTCAACCTGCATAGGCTCGGGCATGGCCTCTAGGGGGCTAACAGTGGATTCCGCAGGTCGAGAAACATGTGCCCCGTCCCGCCGTTCTCTCTCGCGTTGGGACAGCCGATTGTCTACACGGAGAGCCAAGTCGATGAGATCCTGTAACTGGTCAGGAAGATCGCGAGTGGCCAGCTCATCCTTAATGCCTTCGGACAATCCCTGGTAAAACGCATCAAACTGAGCGGTCCGTCCCCATCCGCAAGACATAGCCAGGGTGCGAAAACGGATGGAATACTCAGAGACGGAGCGACGTCCTTGGCGAAGCTGCATTAACTCACGCGCTGCTTCTCTGCCAGACTTGGAGTGATCGAAAACGCGCCTCATCTCTTCCATGAAGCAGGAGAAGCCTGCGCAGAACGGAGCTCCGGTATCCCAGGCTGCAGTCCCCCACTCCCTCGCCGGTCCGGTGAGCAGCGTAATTACATAAGCAACCCTGGAGCGCTCGGTCGGAAAGGTAGAGGGTTGTAGTTCAAAAACAATTGAACATTGAGACAAAAAGGACCGGCATGAACCCGGATCCCCATCGTACTGACTGGGAGGTGACAGGCGAGGCTCGTTTGTCGGTCGATTTATCGAAGCGGCGAAGGCACCGGAATGAAGCTGCTGGACCTGGGAGGCTAATCCCGTCAAGCCTGCGTGGAACGACTCCAGGGATTCCCCGATCGCCGTCAATTCGGCCTGATGCTGTCCCAGGAGAATCCCCTGCTTACCCAGAGCGTCCGTGACGCACTAGACACCATCCTGATCCGCTGGGTCCATCTTACTGGTGAGATCTTCTGTTGTGGATGCAAGAAGATGGACACTGACGCGGCAAGCTGTAAGTCCTGATTGTTTATTAACTTCTTCTTGTAGGAAGGTCAGAAGTACCCAGGACCAAGCCCGAGAGCGTGGCTGAAACTCAGGCGGGGAGGCAGGTTGATCGGCTTCGGTACAGACGGGGGAGAGGCGAAAAACACGGTCGGGAATCCAGGCAGGGGTCGGGCGATCGGCGTCGGTCCAGAAAGGGGCAAAGACGAAAAACACAGTCAAGGGTCCAGGCAGTGGTCGGGCGATCGGCGTCGGTCCAGAAAGGGGGCAGGCAGAAACTCGGAGTCTAGAAAACGTAGCAGTGGTCAGAACACAGGGAAACACACACCAGAAAAAATGCTCGAACTCAGGGCAAACCATGAAGATCTCGCACTGATCAGAGAGCCGAGTTGCCTGATATAGTAACACCGAAACCAGGGAAAACAAGACACAGCTGGGAGAAGAGTATCTGAAACGGGAGCAACCGGTACGGCCAGAACAACTGGTTGACAGGACGCAAACACCTCGGGGAAGCCCTATCGACCGGAATCCCCGGAGGGGCGTGGCTGAGAGGACGAAGAGGGTTCCCTAGTGCTATCCTTGACACTGGTGGACTAACATCACCTTCTCTAGGAAAGGGTATACTGGAAAATCCAGTCTGAATCCGCTGGCGTTGTCTATAGGAAAGTATTACCACCCCACGGATGAGGGAAACGATTTGAATATCCTGCTGGGCGTGGATCAGTCCGGAAAGGACCCCTGGGGCGTAGTGAGTATCCTATTTGTTGACCCTCCTAAGACTGCCCCACAGCCACTAGATGGCCCACTATGGTTCAAGTAACCACCCCGTTCCAAGTCACCAAAGATACTATAGTGCTCCAGGTCGATTACACTAGACTGAATCCTCTAGACATTTTAGAACTAGGACCGTTCACTCCCCGTCCAAGTAAAGCGGAATACCTCTGCTTTAGCTTCGCGGGTACCGGTCCCCACGTAGGGGACATTCCCAACGAGTGGTGTCGTGACACCATAGACAACGGTTCCTGTGACAACTATATAGGGCATTGGGCCCGTTCTGGCTTCTACTGGTTCTGTGGCCGGGATAAGTTACTCATTAGAATGCCTCTCAGCGGCCACGGGGTATGCGCCATGGTAAGGCTAATGGTGCCGTTAGTCCAGATAGGAGAACGTCCCGATACACTAGAGGTCACTACTGGTACACCAGGCGGGAAACTGGTGGGGGGACAACGAAGGCGCATACTGATTAGACGCAGACGCGAGGCACCCAACTTTGACCCCACGGTAGATTCACCTACCTACATCGACGCTATAGGGATCCTGAGAGGAGTGCCAGATGAGTTCAAATTGGCTGACCAGGTCGCTGTGGGATTTGAGAACATTCCTATTGTGGCGGCCATATTCCCCATCACTCCCAACAAAAATGTAGACTGCATGAACTATGTACACTATAACATTTTGCGCCTGTCCAACCTTACTAGAGATGCAGTGGGAGGCCTGGCGGAGCAATTAGGCCCTACTTCTCTGATGGCGATCCAAAACCGGCTTGCACTAGATATGCTACTAGCCGAAAAGGGGGGAGTGTGCGCTATGTTCAGCGAAGTATGCTGTACATACATTCCCAATAACACAGCACCAGACGGCTCAGTGACCAGGGCACTCGAGGGTCTCCGGACCCTCTCCAAAAATATGCATGAGCACTCCGGGATCAATAACATCTGGGATGCTTGGCTGACCTCGGTGTTCGGACAGTGGAAAGGCTTAATGAGCTTGCTTTTATTATCCATTGCTACTTTTGTTACAATTTTAGTTACTTGCGGGTGTTGTTGTATTCCCTACCTGCGCGCACTGTCAGTCCGTCTCATCACTACCGTGATAGAGAAGCGGGATGACACCTATGCGCAGATGATGCCTCTCCTGCCTGTCGGGCCGGAGATGGGCAATGGTCCTCTGGACAGCTTTGAACTACACCTCCCCCGCCAATAGGGTGATCTTCTAGTGGAGATCAAAAGGGGGAATGCAAAATTTCATAAATAAGGCAAAATATTACTAATCAGCATCATCAGGATGATCTCCTAGTGGAGATCAAAAGGGGGAATGCAACATTTCAGAAATAAGGCAAAATATTACTAATCAGCATAATCAGGGTGATCTCCTTGCGGAGATCAAAAGGGGGAAATTGAGGGAATGATTCTATAAGGGGGAAATTGAGGGAATGATTCTATAAGGCTGTAACTAATCAAAATGAGAACTGACTGGCGTGCCGGCAGGGCAAGGTTACCTAATCGGGACAGATAGAGGGAGCAGACAGAGAACGTCAGCGGCCCTTACGTATCTTCAGCCTTCCAGAAGGACAAGTACTAACCAACTAACTAGAGCAAATGTCAAACATGTGGTTGTCACGTAGACGGAAGGTACAGAGAGAGGGGGGAGATGCCCAAAGGGCTTTAAAAGGGATAGAGCTGATACACATGGTACAGCTTCTTTCTGTACATGCTGAATGTATGTCAGATGGTCGCTCCCTGATTATAATCAGTCAGAGAATAAAATGGTGACCTGCAACTTCTCCACGTGTCAGCTGTGAATCTCTTCACCCGGTGGAGACTGCTTACTCCAACAACTACAACCCATGTGTCAAAGTTGTACATAGGTCAAACAGTGATATATGTTTTGTCTGTAACTTAAAAGGAAGAAAAATTACTGTAATTAACAAATGAAATTAAGTAAATGAATCAATCAGTCTTTGGCACAAATAAATAGTATCTATTTATTGTTTTATTCCATAGATTATTCACTTATGGCAAGGATTTATTTATTGTTTTATTCCATACATTATTCACTTATGGCAAGGATTTGCCGGGTATTTATTTATTTATTTATCTATCTATCTATCTATCTATCTATCTATCTATCTATCTATCTAGCTATTTATTTGTTTGCTTGCCTATAAGTCACGTTTTGTCCTCCGTATAGACTGGAGAGGTCGGATGTCTACGTATTTTACCCAGAATCGTGTAGCCCTACTCCCCTTTTTACAGAATTAACGAGGCAAAAAACAATAAAAAAAAAAACACAAAACTGTAATATTAGCCAAATAATAACTAGTTTAAATGTAAAAGGTATGCAAAAGGAATTCAGGCGTACAGCTGCCCATCATTAAGTTATTTAATTAATCGAGTTAATTAATTAACTGAATTAATTAATTGAGCTGGTAGAGAATTTTAACGAATAAACGAAACTACTGAGGTGTGCCTGTGAAGAGGTTTGCGAACTAAGGTGGTGTTCATGTAGCCATCCAACAAGATATCAGTAATCTTTTGGTGAACAGAAGAAATTCTTGTTTGTTTTTAAATGTATTACTCATTTGCATATGTTCTAGTGTTAAATCGTGTTTCAATAGTCCACCTGAAGCAAATCAAGCAATTTATAATTATGTGTGACTGACGTAGGCTATTGTGTCCATGAAAAATAGGAACTGTTGTCCAGTGTCCGCTGTGACGTACGGACAGATTAAAGTGTGCACAGGAAATTTGTCGCAGTGAAATCGTCCATTACGCTCCCTCTTAGTTTTATTTTTGATTGTGTAAGTTGTTTTAATGTTAAGGTACTGAATAACTGATGTAGAGTTTTTCCGCTTTGCAAGTAAGTTGCTGTTATGGATATACTGTAGGTTATGTTTTGGAGCTTTGTGGCTAACTTCAGTTGAATGAAAGGTAGTTATGCGTGATGCTAGCATGTTATGAGGTACTTTAATTTAAACTCAAATTGAAAGAAGTTTTGTATAAATAATTGCCAAAGATACTATTTCTATATCATATTTATAGTTTCACAATATTTGCTTTCTTTTAGAAACATTGACGTGGAAATATGGATAAAGGTACCCACGTGAAAACGACATCTGCGCCGTCTGTGTCTCAGATCAATGCCGAGCATGTGACTCAGGTATACACAGCGTTGGGAGGGTTACTTTAGAAATGTATTCCGGAGTTATGTCATTTTTTGCTGCCTTGTCAGAATTTTAGTGTAACAGGAATTTTCAGTTATATCTGTCAGTTTTTGCTACTTTGCGAAAAAAAAATTCTACTCAGTTTTGAATGGTCATTGGTAGTATTGATGCTATCAAAATAACAGTCCTATACTTTAAATGGGGTAGCAGTGTTTTACGCGTAGTTTATGCTGTCAGAAACCACTACGTGTAATGTTTACAGGTAGTTTTACGCTGCCAGACACTGCTCCCTATACTTTTCAATGGAGTAGTACTTTATTACACGCGTGACTATGGAGGGAAATCCCGGACATTTTTTAAAAGGAATTGCCAAATTGCATTTGCAATTGCGTTTTCCATATGTGGACGCATAAAGTGTGACATAATTCAAATGCAATTGGAAATTTTGCATTACCGTTTGCTTTTTCGCTTTCGCGAACGAACACTGCCACATTTCAAATGAAAAAGCAAAGTCCCATTTGCAATTGCATTTCCCATGTCTTACAAGGGAAGTCCCGGACATTTTTCAAAATTAATCCACTACCT